CTCTCTCTCAGTCGCCTTTCCTCTGCCTCCTCGCAATGACGAATGATAAGGTGGCCTACACGGTTGTTTAATTACGACCATTTCTAGAAAGTCGTTGTTTTTATTGTAAATGTGAGAGAGTGGGTACGCAGCCTCTTACTAGGGTGGTTTAAGGGAAATCTTGTTCAATGTAACCACAACTTCACCTATAATATATTTGTTTCCCTTAAAGGCAGCGCTATTGACGATTGTGTAGAGTTGTTTGTGGATGTCTTGTCCAGTCCTAGCTCTATCTAATTAATTTAATTTGTCTCTTAGTCTATTCAATTAAAATTAGACAATTCATCGACTCTCAGTGGTTACAACCAGCCTGGTGACTTGTGATCGATTCATCCAGCAGTGGATAGACAAACAGCTTTGAATGATTAATTTCCTAATGCATTTAACAAGCGTGATATGTGAGTGAAATGTAGCTAGTGCTCTGTGTAGTCGTATTTACATTCACTCTGCTAGAGTCTTCGTAAAACAGCGTAGAGCGAGTGTCTGAGGTTCTTGCACATTGAGGAACTCGTGTCTCTCCCTGTTGGGCTGTTTGACAGCCGCAGCAGCTAAATCTGGAGAGCAACCAGCTATCGGCTCTACCCGGTGGGGTGTTTGACAAATTGACCCAGCTCACTTATCTGATTCAATCAACTGAAGGCCTTGAACATCATCGTTGTTGTACCTACACTACGCCTATGAAGTTACTGCACTCTGCACTTTAGTTAATTAAGCATATCTTTGTCGAACAATATGGAACCATTTCACTTTTGTATCTTTCATGTTGCACTGAAGATTGACTGCCATCGCAAAAAGCTCTTCATTTCATCTGTTACGTATCTTGTCTGGTGAACCGTAGGTGTTGAGAATACATTCCCCATGGATACTGTTGAAAGCCTCTTTAACCAAAAATATTTTAGTGACCAGACAATTAAGGTACACACAGAGGGCATGTATGGGAATTGACACCAGCAGAAGCACAATGCGAAGTACAATGATTGTTACCAACTTTATTTTTTACGTGTCTATGCCATGTGTTTCAATACACTCTATATCCCTGGATCCCTGGTGTCTACTTCCTTAACTCGAATACCCCTCTGGGGAATGGACAGGGGTGGGGGGAGGGGAAATCAAAAGGGGGGGGGGGGCTCGACAGCCCTTTTACAAACATAAGTATTTAACCAATAATCGTGTTTCATTCGCGGTGACTTTTTATGATCGGGTAAAAGTCAATCTTTTTTGTCACTTAATATTTCTGATCCATAGGTCATGGCGAGCAGTATCTACGGATTGACATTTGTACTCAGGGAAAAATGGAACGCTGAGAATTAAGGGTCCAAATATTGTTCAAACGCACTCCAAATTGATAGACGTCACCTGTACATGTTACCATTTGGATCACGATCTGATCTCTATAATAGCCCCCTGTAGGATATTTTCAAGTTGTGTCCCTTCAACAATTATTGATTTTTATTATTACACTTGTACAGGAATTTGGTGTTTAGGTCACTATATCAGTGCATTCATGAACATATTGCTTGATTATGAATAATTTAATTAACTACAATCATGTATATTCTTGGTTCTTTCAGTAAAGTCACGTCGTGAGAATTTTATTGTTTTATATTTTTATTATTTTATTGTTTCCCTTCTACATGACTTTACCGAAAGAACCAAGACTATGAAATCCTGCAGTCACGAAAGCTTTAAATAAATTTTTTACAATCATGTTGTTTACATTGGCATTCTTGAGGATATTTATTGTATAATTAAAGTTGTAACAAGGTGTTATTTGCCCAATATTTTTTTCATATTCGAGGTTTTAGCAACACCTATAAAGAGACTAAATGATGCAAAAAAAATACAAATGAGTGCAGGTTGGAGTGCTTTTCTAAAGCTGCACTTCACAATGAAATTTAACATTCCAATGTGCCTACAACTAGAGATGTTGATCCGTGTGAACCACCTCCTATAGCAGATGGTTCAGAAACACAACTGAGAAGTGTGCACAGAAGCATTGCAAGTTGAATGCTTGGAATGCCATTGAGAGATAGAAGAACACAAGCATCAGAAAATAAACTCTTAAAAATGATATAAAACTGTTAATAAAGTAAGTTGGCTTGATCAGACAAAGGGGCTAGAAGGGGTGATGGAATAATTTAACGATGGCCAATACACATTGACCACGATAGATAACAATAGCGGAGTAGCAGCCAAGGGAGGGAACTCGCGAAGAAGAACGTCCACCATGGAGATGGAGTAATGTCTGAAGTGGAGGTTGTGGCTCAGCGGATATTTGTTCTTCTGCCCACAGGATCCCGGAACGTAACACCCGCGAAACCACCAGTTGAACCGACCGGAAGCCAGCCGAGGAGAGTGGAGTGGCCAGCATCCACTCCTTCTCCTCCTGCTTTTAAAGTCGTCCCCGGGACCCCCGGGGGAACCGCTCCTGCCCCACCTGGGGGTCTGGCGACGAGGACCCGTTCAAAATCGTCTATTTAAATAAACCACCTCCAGCGTCCTATTTATTCCAATGCCGTCTGTCGGGGGTCGCATACACGAGTCGGATTGTGTTACCGGTTGAACTGGGTCCTTCCTGTGCTTGTGGGTTGTGACATGCTGATGGGTGTAAATTTGAGAGAGTGGGTAAGGGTACATATTGTTCTTGTCGACGGTTGTTATTGTTTTTATCGTTATTATTGGAATTGTTGTTGGAGGTAGATCGTCCTATTATTTGAGGTATGGAGGTCAGCCGTGATGGCTGAGTTTTATAAGGGGAGGGGGGGGGGGTAATGTAGTGACATAGAATGGGTCACTACGATGCCAGCGCCAGTTACTCAAAAAGAGGGGAACTTGGAGTGTAGTAGCCCTCTCTGCCATTAGGGCATGCAGTATCATGGAACGGGTCCCTAGGCGGCGTAGTTCTGGTGGCTGGTAGAGATGGGGCACGTGAGAGGCCAGGGTAAGGATGTAGACCAAAGGTGACCGAAGGGACACGTGGGGTATGGCCCAGAACCTTCTGGTAGGTTCCAGAAGGGGGCGTGGCCAAGGACGGAGCCAGGCCACGCTGGGGGGCATAAAAGGGAGGTCCCGAGGCTGGGTCGGGGCTGTCAGCTGGAATGGAGTCATCCGTGATAAGTCTTCCCCTGGGTCTTCGGTCTTCACTCTTCGTGCTCGGCATGGTGCCAACTGTCCTGACTCGGTTTATGAAGTTATCACGTGTTGCCTCCTGAGTTAGTGTGTGTCTCTCAGTAAACCCACCACACATGTGTAGTGACTGACTTGGATACGTAACTTCTTGGAGGCAATTATTTAATTAAACACCGAGCACACTTTGTACAATAAACTTTATACACACCCTACACTGTTACATACTCTATCTCTCGCTTATACGCAACTCTACACTGGTTGCTAGCCTACACACAATGCTAGCCATTTGACACTGACGGCGCTGAACAAATACAGCCAACTACGTCTAGCAGTGCAATATCAAGTGGAGACGACAGCGACGAAGGCACGAAACGACAGCGGTGATGGCGATAATCTTTAGAAGCAACGACAACAGGGATCCCACTCCAAACAACAGCCCTGACCTCCCGCTTGGGGTCCCCTTTTAGCCTTCCAGCGTGGCCTCGTTCCGCCCCAGCCACGCCCCCTTTCTATAACCTACTAGCGGGTTCCCGGGCTTCCCTCACGTGCCCCTTCTGTAACCTTTCACCTAGATCCCTCTCGGGTCTATCACGTGGCCTGCTATCAGTCAGGGCCGCTTCAAGCTTGGCTGCCAGCAGCCAGCGCTATGCTGCTTAGTGACCGATTATATGTCACTGCACATGTAATGCATTGGTGATATCGCGTTAGAACAAACGTCGCGTAGAGATCATTCCAGGCGGTGCTGAGTGGCACCCCTCCTCGAAACTTGCGGTCGGATATCTCCGCTTTTTTCCCACGTAACCAGCCAGGTGATGGTCACGTACTGCCACGAGAGAAGCCTTACGTCTGTGCCTACAGGAATCCCCACGTGAGAGTTGCGTTTGTACAACAATCAGATCACGAAGCTCTAGCCAGGGATGTTTGACAGTCTAAAGCAGCTCACGTATATAATCTTGGTAGTAATAGGCTGCAGACCCTTCCTGAGGGAGTGTTTGACCGCCTGGTGAATCTGCAGTGGTTAAATTTGTACAGCAATCGGCTGAGAGCGTTCCCAGGTGCGCGCCTGGCGGTGGAGCTGTAGCCACGCGCGTGAGTGTATCGCCGGTAGTGATAATGCAAACAATATCAACAGTGGCAAACATCTCAGCAAAGAAAGATGAACAACACAAACACACAATAGTGGAAAACAACAGCAAACACTAGCTTCTCACATATAATAAGACTTTATGTGCAGTCATGATATTTGTATAAACATTAAACACGTTCCAGTAATGACAGTCTCAAAATTAATGTGCAAAGATAATGTATTTCCTTTAACGCCAGTCTTTAAATAACAACAATGGTGCTGCTTACATAACGGATGTCAGCAATGATGTCAGTAAATACTGCATTGTAACTGCTTCACAGATATTCTACACAATGCATCGACTATCGTCTCAATAACTCAGCAATAGTTTCCAGTAGTGGGTTAATTTCAACGCTGATGAGGATGATGAATCTATATTTACAAATAAAGTTAGAGGCCCCATATATATTTAACTAGGTGAGATAATTTTGAAATCCCCTCTTTTCAGTGGAGACCTTGGAAACAAAAATGTGTTAATTAATTTTCTTTCTTCACCATTCACAAAAATATAAAAACACAACACGACCACAATACCACAGCAACAACTGTTTAATGAACTACACTATATAACGCATACATACTATTCTTAAACAATTTCATAAGAACATTTTCCGAGAGAGCTTCAGAAAGATGCAACTCGTGTAAATGTTGGACCACACACGACGCTGCTCACGTGCAAAGGGAGGCCGTTGTGAGCTGCCTCTAAACCGTCGCCCGTCCCTCGCAGTGTTCCTGCTCAGGGACAACTGTGGATTGCCGGAGCAAACGCCACGCATCTGTGCCTGCGGGAATCCCCACCAATGCGCAGATTCTGTATTTACACGACAATCAGATCACGAAGCTCGAGCCCGGGGTGTTTAACAGTCTGGTAGCACTGGTGAAGACACGAAACCCTGACACTCCTGCTGTTATCACTGCGATAGTGATTTAGAATTCCTCACACACACACACCGCATAATGGCATACAAGATAACATAACAATGTTCTATACTATTTTGTTCTTTTGATAAAGTAACGTAGGTAGAAAAATAAAATAAAACAAAAATAATATATGACGACGTTTCGATCGTAACACAAGCGGTCGTCCTTAGGCGGAAAAAAATATCCTGCAGTGAAACTGCTGAACCAGCGAGAGAGCTGTTACAACAAAAGGTTATTTACGTGGCGATGGGCAAGGAAGCGGGGTCTGAGCTAGAAAATAATTTCAACCCCGGATGGATTAGGCAGAGTGAGATTACGGAGAGAGATTAGCATGAAATGATCTAAGAGTGGCTTCTTCCACTCCAGCGCTGTCCTCCAGACAGTCTCGTCCCTTCACCTGATGAAGGCCGCTTGTGTTGCGGCCGAAACGTCGTGTTTTTTTGTTATTTTACTTTCACCTACGTGACTTTACCCAATAGAACCAAAGAGTATGGTCACTTTATCGAGCAGTGGATTGACGCAGAGGCGGAGCCAGGATTTTCAGGTAGGGGGGCAACCCCTCCAGCAATGAAAAATGATACGAGTTTGTTAGTAAGTAAGGACTTTGCTTTCCCTTGCTTTTTATTCGACACGTGTGCGGCGATGGCGCATGGCCTGCAAGTCGAATTCTAACCGTGTGTGATCGTCATTGCGCTCGCTGAAGGTGAATGCCTTCAGGGAAGTCGTGTACTGTATACACGCAACTGCGCACAATTCTGTCACTTATAACTGCTTTGCCGTTACTTATTGCCAATTATGGACTCAGACACATAATAATATGCTACACAGTGGCAGTGGGGGTCGCAAAATGGCGATTTATTACTAATAAACCACAATGATCCGATCGAAATTAGGGATTTCGATCGGATCATTGGGTGGGCGGGGGGGGGGCACGTGCCACCTCACCCACTTGCTCCGCCACTGGATAGACCAAGGACTTTGAATTACTAATTTGATATTTTTTTTAACAACACCAATTGCTCACAAGCTTGATGGTGTGAAATAAAGGTAAACAATGCTCTTTGGAGTCGTTTTTACATTCACTCTGCTAGAGTCTTCCGAAACAGCTGAGAGCGAGTGTCTGAGGTTGCTGCGCAGTGAGGAACTCGCGTCTCTCCCCACTGGAGTGTTTGACAAACTGACCCAGCTCACTCTTCTAGAACTGCAAAACAACCAGCTGAAGGGCGTTCCCAGGGGCGCGTTTGACAAACGGAGCCAGCACTGCCAGGAACGGTCTCTGCTTTGTCGCTGGGAATAGGGATAGAGATGACGCTCGGCACGAGTAGCGTTCAATTTATAAAGCTACCGCGTTATTGAAATCCACAGTCATCGTCATCATCACCGTCGTTATGGTGTCCTCTAGTGCTTCAGGTTAGTCTGCAGTTCAACTGAACATTCGTGAAGATTAAATGAGTGAATGTTGAAAATTATTAGAGCGGGTATTGATCGTTTACAGAAAGTAGCATGTGCTGTGCGGGTTTATGTTAGTGCGGCAACAAACACAAAAATAACAAACACACGACAACAAAGACAAAGATTCCCGTATAACCTTAACAAAATGTTGAGGAAAGTGCTGTTAGCGAGCACCAATGAAGGCTGGCACGGAACACGAGGGGGTTGGGTGGCAAACACAAAGCCAGGCCTCCTTTGTCTCCCTAGCGACGATATTTACACATCATACCAGGTACTCATTTGCGGATGAGTCGACCTAGGGGAGGCCCAGGACCGGTTAAGATAATCGTCACTATTGTTGGCCGTGATTGGGAATCCAACCGGGTTCGCCAGGTTCGTAGGCCAGTGCGCTAACAGCGATACACTACTGATCGAGTAAAACATTTCCAGAGGGAATGCGAGGCGAGCTCTGAACACCGTACGGGTCGCTGTAGTGCACCGCACAGACAGTGGGCACTGCATGGAGCGAGGTGCCGAGATGTGAGGTGAACCCGACGCCGCTAACGCGACCTAGGGACCCGTGTTGAACTCCATTGCCGTGTGAAGAGCGACGCTCTCTTGTAGAGGCTGCTCTACAGCAAGAGGCGGAGGCTGCTGATCTGCGTTTCGTGTTCAGCGATCAACTCACAGCTCTCCCCCCTGGGGTGTTTCGATCAGTGGAATTAATTCCGGAATTCGCCTGTCCATGGGAGTCCCGAGGCTCTCTCTTCAGTAGGATGCTAATACAATGGAATGTGTGGCCAAGTCCTGTTTGAGTAAAGTTTTGCGTTGTTGGTGCTGTTTGGGTAGTTGTTGCTTTGCGTGGTTGCTCTTGTTCTGCTGTGTTGTGTGGTTGCTTTGTCATGTTGTTTTTTGTTGTTTTGCGTTGTTTGGATGCCGTGGTGAGTTTGTTGTGTTGTTCTGTTGTTGTTGCTGCACAAACCAAGCCCGCAAAGCGAGCATGAGTTTACATAAACGGTCAATATCACCTCGAATCATTCACTCACGAAGGCAGACGCTCACCTCACTGCTCAGTGACACTGCAGACTAACTCGTAGCACAAGAAGGCACCATGACGATGATGACGATGACTGTGAATGTCAATAACGCAGTAGCTTTACAAACTGAACGCTACTCGTGCAGGGCGTCGTCTCTATCTCGGTGCGCAGCGACAAAGCAGAGACCGTTCCTGGCAGTGCTGGCTCCGTTTGTAAAACGCGCCCCTGGGAACGCTCTTCAACTGGTTGGTGTCCAGAACCAGATAAATGAGCTGGGTCAGTTTGTCAAACATCTCCGCGGGGAAAGACGCGAGTGCTTCACTGCGCAGAAACCATTAACCATAGGCACTCACCTACTTAGTATGAAATGTAAATTCTTCAATACGTAGAAATGTAATCAAAAGAGGCATTACCAATCCACTTTAAGCCGTAGTCACGCCCATGCGATGTATTAATCCACCTCGCATCTGCACACGATCTGCTGTCATACTGTCCTTCCGGGCGCGTTCCCTCCCTTGCCTGCTACTCCGCTATTGTTATAGACCATGGTCAATGTGCATTGACCATCGTGGATTATTCCATCATCCCTTCTCACGCCGTATCCTGGCCAAGCCTGCTTACTTTTACTATCCGTTTGATGTAATTTGCGAGAGCTTATTCTCTGATCCATGTGTTCCTCTCACTATCTTTCAATGTAATGCCAAGTATGCAACTCCCAGTTCGTCTTTGTGCACTTCTCCGTTATTTTCCGATATTATGCGTTATTCTCACCGTGCTTCTGAACAATCTGCAATGCCAGGTAGTTACCACTGATCAACATCTCTCTTCTGTACACACATTATGATGTTATTTTTTATTGTGAAGTTCGGCTACACAAAAGCACTCCAGCCTTCTCTGGTTGCCTCTTTAGTTGCATTGTTTTGGTCACCTCACAGGTATTGGAGAAGCCTCGAAAATGAAAACAATTGCCGTTCAAATTACAGCTTTGGCGCGTTGTCTCTCATTCGTAAACTCATACGGAGGGTGCGCTGAGAATGCCATTGAGGCAATGAGTCCAACGTCGATGCACCACAATTTCTGTGGGACTGTAAGCTATGTAGCCACCACCAGTCGCGCCCCTGGGAACGCTCTTTAGTTGGTTGTTACTCAGAGCAAACCACTGCAGATTCCCGAGGCGGTCAAACACCTCAGCGGGAAGAGCCTGCAGCTGATTCCTATTTAGATCCAGAATTATCAGCTGGGTGAGGCTGTTAAACACCCCAGCGGGTACTAATAACGTGTGCTGATGATATTGACCTCTTAGTTCAAAGTGGCATCTATTCACATCTAGAGACCTCAATGCTATTTACTTAAAGCGACCTCTCACCACTCTCATGAATATTCGTAAGAGAGAGCGAAATCCATTCACATGAAGTTATTAACCAGCCCCACATCTATTCACTTTTTTGCAGACACGGGAGTTGACAAAACTTCCATTCGCTATCATATAGACACGTCTTGTTTAAAACAACGTCGACTCACTTCACATGAAACCTGACAGTTGAATTGATTCCGGTTACTTCCATCGAGACCTGCTCGTTATAATTCATATAATTTACTTGCAGAGCCATCTGTGAGTTAAAGAGATCTCAAATTACTTTAATGGAGAGACGTGTCACGTCACCGCCATCCTACGCTCGACCGTCTTTCGCTCTGCTGGGTCCTCAGGCGAGTCGCGGCACACCACACACACAGCTCTCACAGTCACCTCACACATTGGGTTCGGAGTCACGGGTCATGCGTTTTTGTCAGGGTGCGTCACGTGTCGGTCGGGTTGTTGCGGAAGATGGTTGGCCGCGGCGTTCTACTCAATTGTCGGCCTTGGGCCGCCGTGTTATTGCAGCGGCGGCAGGATCGTCCGCTGTTATCTGAACCATAGAGGGTGGGGAGGTGTGGGTGCTTGTTGATAACGGTGCATCCGTGACCATCATTTCAGAAATGATTTTTATTGTTTGCCGCCAAAATCGCGCACCATTCGGCCCATTGACATCCCTGTTTTGCCGCGAATGGACAGTCTTTAGGGATTGTTGGCCAGATATCGGCTACAGTCTGCATAGGTGACATTCGGTTAACGGTCCTGTACTTGTTTCAACATCCCTAGCCCGACTCTGCCTGTTAGGGACCGATTTTCTAGGTGACATGCCGCTAAAGCTGCTTGTGGATGAAGGCTGCATTGAGTTGTCATCGGGCCGCCGAATTGCATGTTTGGCATCGCCGACTCAATTCCGCATGGCTAATGCATTGGTGCTAGCGCTTGCCAACCAAACGGTCAAAATTCCCCCCGGTGCACAGATGTTCCTTCCCTTGCTCCTGAAAAAAGAACTCGACCGCAAAACGACTACAGAAGGGATGTTGTTGGTCCTCTCCAACAAGGCTGCTCGTGGTAAAACTTTATTGTATGCTCAGACTTTGGTGGCAAACGATCATAAACCATTTATCCAGGTTTTGAACGTTGGTTTGGTAACGTCGGTCATACAAGAGGGCACAGTTTTGGCTCACGCGTCGGTCGCGTGTCGTAAGGGCGAAAACGACGGGACTGTAGTAGTTGCTGCGGCTGCGCAGGAGGTTGAGGAATGTGATGAGTAATGGATTGACGCTGACGTAATTTCCCCGACAAACAGTCCATGGGGGACGCCCATTGTGCTTGTTAAAAAGCAGGACGGGAGTCCGAGGTTTTGTGTCGTCTTCCGCACACTCAACAAAGTCTCCATGGCTGATGCGTGCCCGCTCCCATGGATGGATGACTCGTTAGACGCCTTGTCGGGGGCGCATTTCTTCTCCACCCTTGATTTGCTGTTGGGATTCTGGCAGTTGCCCTTGGACGACAGCTCTAGACCTAAGACTGCGTTTTGCACACCCCAAGGGTTGTTCGAGTTTAACTGGCTCCCGATGGGACTTCACTCGGCGCCTGCCACATTCCAGAGGTCAATGGAGTTGGTGTTGGCATGGCTCCAATGAGTTGCATGTCTAATTTATCTCAACAACCTCATTGTTTTCGGACGTACGTTCGAGGAACAACTGCGGAGGTTGTGGGCGGTTTTTCATAAAATGCGGACAACTAAACTCAAATTTAAGCCGCAGAGATGCAATTTGCTGCAAAGGTCAGTCTGGTATCTAGGGCACATTGTCAATGATTTCGGGATATCGACGGATCCTGAGAAAACTGCATGTATGTGCACACGGCCAACTCCCAAGCCGGTGGGTGAAGTGTGTAGTTTTCTAGAGGTCGCCTCTAATTATCGATGTTTTGTTCCCGGGTTAGCCACGATCGCAAAACTTATCCACGTCCTCACGGCTAAGGGACCGAAATTTCGATGGAGGGAGGAGGAGGCTGCGTTTGCTGCGCTACGAGACCGCCTGGTCAAAGTACCTCTCCTTCCGTACCCCGATTATTCTTTGCCAGTCATCCTTGATACCGACACTATTAATACTGGCATGAGCGCCGTGTTATCCCAGGTTGAAAACGGTCTGGAGCATGTGGTTGCGTATGGGAGTAGGGTACTGTCCCGTGTGGAGCAGCGATACTGCGTGATGTGCCGTGAGTTGCTGGCTATTGTTCACTTCGTCCAGCAGTACTGTCCCTACCTCTATGGAAGGAAGTTTGAGGTATGCTCGGATCACGCGGCTCTCCAGTATGCGCTACGAGTCGAACAGCCGTCCGGCTAGCTCTCCCGATAGTGAGAAGTCCTTCTGGACTACTCTTTTGTAGTCTCCTACAGAAAGGGTGTTTGCCATGTCAACACTGACGCACTGTCACGACTGACA